ACCTGTAAACTTTTGTAGCTGATTGTGGGATTCTAGAACTCTACAAAAGTTTTTGGGTTTTTTGGGGGGGGGGGGGGGTGTTTCTCTTTTTTAACTTTAATTGCCTTGCACCAATTTTCCAGACTGTCATGAGTCTTGCCGTTTTTTCTCATCTCTTAGCACCAAGTATTGGTAAGGAAAAACATTATGTCATCATAGTTGATGAACCCCAAATGGCCATCTGAATTGCAAACACTGGGTGTATTCCAGAGAAACTTCATTCAAGCCCTACTGAAATTAATGGAACTTATTTCCATGTATCTCCATTTACAAGCATGCAGCCAACATGCTAAAAACATCAGCTCCTCTGAGACAAGCTTGTGCACTCTGGGATTCATCTCCTTGTTGAAATGCTGAAGTAATGTTTATACAAGGGAAGTTGGAGAAAATCCAACTCATCTCTGTTCTATATCATTATTCTGGTCAGATGAATCCTCAGATAATAAGCAAAAGTCTCCCTATAGTCAAGGAGGAATGAGTGGTTTGTACACAAAGTCCTTTAGCAGAGTTGCTACAAGCACTCTCTATTAAGTCAGGTAGTCAGAATATCGCCCAGCAGACTGTTACTTGTCTGTATGCATATGAAGGGAATGATAGTTTTAATTATCACCTGAAAGACACAGAATAAGTAAATATGCCATTGCTTTAGATCTACTTTGTTTGAAGTCCTGCAGAAAATTATTTTTCTATCATTAAATGTTCAAATAAAATAATTCAAAGCAAAATTGTTCTTAACATGATGAATACTGAATTTCATGTTACACATTGACTGTACACCATTCTACAGATACTAGCATGCCCAGATGTCTTTAATCTTTCATATGGAGAGAGAGAGAGAAAGAGATTATATTTCTGAAGTCGTCTCCTGATATTTTTTCTTTTGAAGTGAAAGCAATCTGACTTCCACTCAAGCTCAGACTCAGAAATTGTCAGAATCAAGCAGCTGCTGGAATCTATGCCGGACACTCTGTCTCCAGCATGTTGTCTGCCACTAATATTACTACTTGCCATTCCAGTAAGCAGGCTGAGAATCACAGTAAGAAAAGCTGCAGATGTTTGGAGAAACTTTCCAGATTGTGGAATTGTTCATAGGATCAAATTCTGTCTTCTAAACTGTGTTAATTTTTTTTTTGCAGAACTCACAATTTATCACCTACTTTGCCCTCTAGCCACAAAGGTGGATGGTCCTTGTTTTTCCAAAAGGTGCAACCTATTAAGGCTTCATTTAGCAACCTTTCCAAGCTGATACAAAAACTACCAGAAAAATTATCTGCTGAGATCTCTGACTGCAGCAATCTTCAGTCTCTGGCCTCTGTTGCCTCTTCCCAATATGTTTGCCAGTATGTTTCTTCTGTCGTGTGTGTGTGTGTGTGTGTTTATGTGAATATGTTTGTTGGATGTCCTTTGTTGCATACATGTGCCTAAAATGGAAAGGCATATCGATATGGCTCGCATACTGTATTATATACAGAGGATGTGTTTCTAAGAAAGAAGCATACAGAAGGAACTGAAATTCTTTTGCCTGAAAACCTGGAGCTGGGAAATGTAGATAATTCTCATCTCTGAAATGATAGAACCAATCCTAGTAAGTACTGCACGGTGATATTGCAATAATCATAAAATCCAAGATTTTTATAGTACAAAGAAGTACTATAAAACAAACTTTTTTTGTTTTTGTTTATAAATGTTATTAAAAGTTTTAAAGAGAACAAAAACTAACACAAACTAATACAGAATAAAGAGAACGAAGAAGGAAAGACAAAGAAAAAACAAAAGTGCAGAAAGAAAGAATAAAAAGAAATAGAAGGAAGACACTTCTGATTTCTTTTGCAGCAAATCCAGGTATGATTACAAAGTTATCTCTTACTCTATGATTACCAAAAAAAAAAAAAAAGCTCACTCTTTTCTATTATCCATTTTTTTTTTTAATCATCAGAACCACAAGTCATAAGTGCATTTTTTTCCCATTGCATGCAAAAAGTCTATAAGGGGTTTCCAGTTAGCCATAAATGTAGATATTGCCTTTTCTCTAATCAAGGACATTAATTTAGCCATCTCTGCAAGTTCCATCAGCTTCACCAACCATTCCTCCATTGTGGGTAGCGGTATAAGCATCCATTGTAACCACAGGGATGACAACATCTGTGTCGTAATGTCATGATGCCAGCTCCACCTTTTTGTACTTGTGTTGCAACATAGTACAACAGTCCATAAACAGTGGAGTTTGTGTTGCAATGGACGCTCCAACCCTTAGATGGGTGAGTGTTTTCTGTTGGAGGTTGCAACTCAAACTTAGAAGTGACGAAATGGTTGCAGGAGGCCTTCCCGTTACACAATGACATTTCCAAGGGTGGGGTTGGGGTTGGCAACTGGCCTGTTTGGAGAGATTGGTGGGGTGGGGGGCATCTGGGAGCATTAGGATGATTTTAAGAGCCCACCCTTATTTTCATAGGTTGGGGCCAAAAAAGATGTTGCTACAATACAATCTAGCCATTTTCCTATCAAATTTCAGTGACACGCTTTCAGTGTGCTTTGGGGGCCATATGTGGCCCATGAGTGGTGGTTGACTACTCCTTCACCATACTAATTTAGTTTTAAAGCTAAACTAATTTAATTATTATGAAAAAATGTCCACCCACATAAAAAACAAAGCAAAACAAATTCAGAAAGAAACTCACCCTGCTGTTTTATTATATGTGCAGGATATATTTGTTACTTCATGTCTGTATGTTTATTGGGGACAAATGTAAGTTCAAAGAAATGTGGATGTGTCCTGCAACCACTGATTGGCTGAAATTAATTTCTTAAAAAAGCTGTTAATGCTACATATTTACAGAAAGATTATGCAGTGTTATACAACTTTGGGTCCTCTTGCAATTTTGGGCTACAACTACCACAATCTCTTGTCATTGGCCTGCTGGTTGGGATTGATGGAAACTGTAGTCTAAAACATAAGAGTTAGAAGAGGCCATTAGATCAACAAGTCCAACCCTCTGCTGAGTTCGGGAATCCAAATTAAAGCAACCAAAGATGGTTATCCAGCTTCCATCTGAATATCTCCACAGCATGGAATCCCACCGCCTCTGGGGGGTTGTACTTTGAACTGCTCTTATAAACAAGTTTTTTCTAACATTCAATCTGAATTTGGCTTCCTGCAACTGAAATTCATTCCTGTCCTGTGTTCTGGAATGAGAGAGAGCAAGTCTTGAGATTCTTCTTTGCAAATCCTTTCAGTATTTCAAGTTATTTTGGCCCCCCTCAGTTTTCTCTCCTTAAGGCTAAACATGCCCGGTTCTTCAACCTTTCTTCATGGGATTTCCTCTCCAATCCCCAGAGTAAAGAGGAACAATTACTTCCTGTAATATGGAAACCCTTGATGCATCTTAAAATTGCATGTGCCCTCCTGTAACTCTATCATGCTGTTTGAAATCAACTACTCTTTCACAATCATTTTCTTAAATATTACCAAGCCAGATAGCTCCCATTTAATATCTCCACATCTGAGTTCTATTTCCTAACCGAAGAACTGCACTTATCTTTGTTAAATTTCCTTCTGTTATTTTCAGCTTATTTTTCTAACTTAACAAGTTGGTTTTGAATTTTACTTCTATCTTCAAGAGTATATTAGTCATCCCACCCAATTTTGTGTCATCTGCAAATTTGATAAACATTTTCTCTATTTCTTTATTCAAATCTTTAATAAAAATATTGAAACACACAGGTCCCAGAACTGAATCTTTTGGCTCCTTACTTAATACCTCTCTCCAGTTCAGTGAGGAATCAATGATGAGCATTTTTTCAGTAAGATTTTTGAGCCATTTAATGTATACACTTTAGTTATATACTAAAGTGGTATACACTTTAGGTATCCACTTAATTTCATGGCATTTAACTCATATTTGATTTAGTCGACTAATCAGAATGAGATGGGATACTTTGTCAAATAAACTGCTGAAATCAGAAATATGTTAGAACATCACTACAATCTAAAAGATTAGCATGACAATATTCATGCTAACTTAATTTCTGCAGTGTTTACAAAACTCACCAGGCCAAACATAGTCCTGGTGAGGTGCAGACCATTTCTGATTCCAGAAATCAAATTTCTCCCATCGACATCATCTACATAATCAGTTATTCACCTGGAGTATTTTTCTTTCCTTTTCCATGGACTAAAAGGACAAGAAAAGTTTTCTTCCTTCAAAACCTAGGGTGAACCACTCCTAACTATTATTTGTGCCCATACAGAATAACAGGAAGGGACAATTGTCACTGGGCTTAATAAGCCTCAGGAGGAGTCCTCTCACATCCCTGTTCCTTGCTTCAGGCAAACAGCATGCTTCACAAGTCAGTGGGTTCACGTATTTGCTTTATTCATATCATAGTAGTGAGTCACCAAATATTAAGATTCTTCTCTTTGTTTTCTTACAGAATACAGCTGCATCCCCTGTGCCCTTCAGGGATCGACTGACCTATGTCATGTTCTCAGTGTCACTTTCTGTTTCTCCTGTGAGGCTTAAAAACTATTCTTGGTTTCAGCAATGCTGAATATATTCAACATCTCTTCTGGTTGTTATTGAGCTTGTCCCTCTTTAGGTTCTTTTCCTTATAGAAAGTTGCTTTTTGCAAGCACTGCTCCAAACTTGTAGTTCCTGAAAGTATATGTCAGATTCTTCTTAGTCAGGACACAAACATGCCATAAGCATTGCATATCATGACTGCAGATTCCTGTCCATTCATTTTCATTTTTGTTTCTCAAAGTTCCACTAGTAGAAAGCTTCTTTTTCATCTTGCTCCCTTCACAGGACTCCTCTGAACTTTAATGGCTAGTTTCTGTTTGCGTTCCCTGTTCGGGAACCCTCAATGATGCTCGGGAGGACACCAAGTTGCTAAACCTGGTACTTTTCTTTTTGCTAATTTATTATGAAATAAGAACAAAGTTGGGGGGTGGGATGGGAATGGGGAGGATTGTGTGACTGCCAGGCACTGTGTGTGAAAGCATTTTCTATGGGCTCATGGAAATTGTAAAAGTGGGGTGAAATAGTGCCTGCCTTCCAGGAAAAGTAATAAAATGTAAATTACATGGGATTAAAAGATTTAGCTCTTCAGTTATAGGTTGTATCAACAGATTATTTTCTTGCAGAATATTGAAACTAAATCCAGAGGAGGAAATAGTATGGCCTAAAATCAGCACTGTTGGCCTTGCAGCTCTAATGAGAAGATTTTCTGGTTGATGTTTCAAATCAAATTAGAATATATAAGAATTCTGAAAGGAGATTTGATCATTTGGAAATAAGATATCTGACACAGTAGGTAGAAAGTATGTGGCAAAACTGTCAGTCTGATTAAAATACCAATGAAAGAGCTGGGACAGGATGCAGGTACTAAATAAACATTTAAAATGTAAGTCCAGAAAGTCTTTCTTTTTCCTTCTCCTTTTGGATGCCAATTATTTTTTATTTCTATAAACCTCCCCCTACATTAAAAATTGAGGGATAGGGTGAAATTGATTATCTGTCGGTTCACGGAAGAAAACAGAAAGTACTTTTGCCAGCAGAAATAATCCACAGGGTTTGCTACACATGATGAGGAGATTGCAAGTAGCTAAGATGTCTTTAAAAGGAGATCAAGCAAATGCCTGGAGGAGGATCTTTTCATCTAAGGCTCTTAGCCATGATGGTGGAGTAGACCATCTATCTTCAGCTGCATGATGTCACAGAAAACTTGTTGCCTGAAGGCAAAGGAATGGGAGATCGCAAGAGTGAAGGTCTCTTAATGTATACTCTATTGATGGGCAAAATAGAAGGAACCCCCCCAAAAAGAAGAACACAGAGTGTCAGCAGGAGCAGTTATGCTGCAGCTAACAACAGGAATAATAAGCATACTTTTAGCTTTCAAGAAAATTTAGAACTGAGAACAAATAATTAGGATCATGAGTTGAGTATCTGCAAAAAAATTCTTAAATGCCTTCCAGGAGCATGCAGAACTTCACAATCAAATAGCCTTTTATATTTTCCAATAAGGGTTACTGTTATCAGTCTTCCCTGCATGGTAATCATGATCTTATTATTTGGCAAATAAAATAAAATATCTAATCAGTAATCATAGCCAGTGAAAATGCAGTATTCTAAGCAAATACCATTTTTACATCTTTTTGACATGTGTAACCATCACCACGTTAAATCTGGCTACCTTAAAAACTGTTTAGAGAAGGAACCACAATATTCTCATTGAATTTGCTTCAAGTGAATTAGATGGCCTTTACTATTCTTTTGGCACTTTAGATATTTCATTGCAACAAGTCTAAGCATAATCTATTAAGATCACCACTACAAAATGCAAAATGTTGGCTTCCTTTCACAAGTAAGTTTTTTGAAGTAAGAGAATGAATATATCTCTAGGGTCAAACGGAAGTCACGATACTATAAGCAAATAAACCCAAAAGATCCAATTTATAGTGAATATTCAAAAGATGAAAAATCTGATTTGCACTGTTTGGAATACACATTTTCAGTGACATGTATGGTAAAAGTAAAGATATAGACAGAAAAGTCCTTAGCAAATGCCACAGGAATCTGTGGGTTTGGTGTAAATGTATTCAAAGAGCAGTTTTCAGAAATGTAGAAGCTACCTCAGTTTGCAACTGTAAATGAAAACAAATTTTGCTATTTTGGAGGGGAGAGGTGTAATATATTTCTAATAATACATCTAGGAAGATATATCTAATTGTTTTATATAGAGAGAATGAGCCTATGCACTCAAAATGATTAGTGCAGACTAATTTTCAATACTTTTTCCATCCAGTTTAAGTTAAGAAAAGTGCTGAAATTTCTGACAGTGCTTGCTCTCTGCTGGTTAGAAGTCCCCATTCTATTCTTTTTTTTTCTTTTTTCTTTAGTTAAAAAGTAGCTTTTACATAATGCAGCTAACACTGTGCAGTACACTAAGCCCAAGCAAGCTTTCAGAAACAAGGTAGTCCTTTCAACAACATACTTCTATATGTTTAAAATTGAAAATAAAAGGCATTGGATCTTTGTTTTGAGACATTTTGTAAGAACTAGGAAGCATTGAAAGTTAAAGTATGTCTCAAATCTATGTATGGCATTAGATATTAGATCCTAATAGAATGAGGGCTATAATAGTTTGGTTTTTTTTAATTAAAAATAACTAAATTTCATGGGTTATAATTCTCATCACCCCTTGGTATTGTGCAATGTTGTCTGTTAAACATCAACAATTTTTCCAGTGTTTGTCTCCCATTTTCTTTGTTACCAGATAACTTGGGAGGTCTCTCTTCGCACAGAGATAGGAAAGTGAGCTGGGGTGGAAGGGCTGCTAAATTCAACTGTCTGCTACTTGGAACTTGAGAACATTTCCTCTCAAGCTTTCATTCCTTTCCCCAAGCTTCAGAAGATTCATCAAGAAATCACTTGAATTTAAGCCAGACTAAATTCCACAGCAGACTTGATGAAAACTAGAGCAAAACTGCACTTCTTCTGACATTCAGTCCTCAAATGATACCTATAACAGATCATCATGCTCCAAGCTGGAGACTAGTTCTGCCTGTCAGGAAGCTATCTTTGACCTTGTACATCAAGAGGAGAGCCTTCGTATTCCTAGCAATATACAGGTAGTCCCCAGGTTAAGAACACCCAGGTTATAGATGGCCCATAATTAAGTACAGAACCTACTGTAGCAAAATTCGAGTTAAATACACAATGATTCCAGTTAAATACACAACGGTTCGAGTTCATTACGCAGTACCACTTATACAGTATTATAAATAATACTGTTCTGGCTTAGATACCAATTCGACTTAAGGACAGACCTTGGGAATGGACCTGATTCTTAAACTGGGGACTACCAGCAAAATTTCCACGTGAATCACAGCCATCTGAAAAATGAGTTCTCCCTCCCTTGCTGCCAGCCACTCCACTCCACGATGGCTCCCAAATGCACAGGGAATTGAAAGACACAAAATGGCCATTGCATGGGAAATTCACAGTGAGAGGACCAATTCCCTCATAGATATATCATCCTGAACACCAGCAATTTCCAGGTTTGGAAGGAGAAAGCAATTTCTTCCTCAAACTTTCTTTTCAGCACCTCCTCCCAAATGCAGACTTGTCTGAAAAATCTGTTTGAGTATTTGGAATAATACCATTTGAAATCCTTGTTCATGCCCGAAGCATGACAATAACCATTTAGAATCCTTGTTTATCCCCAGGAATGCATGCCCAGAAAAAAGAAGAGGAAGATTGAGAGAAAGGCCAGGTTAGCCTCCTCTCCCCCCTTCCCAGTTTCTCTTATTGAATTCTGGAAGGAGAACAGCTGCCACATTCCCCACAGTTTCTCCCCTCCTTGGGATTCCAAACATAACTGCTGGGCTGACATGCAATTCTTTTTAAAGAAACTTCTAGATGTTGCTAAACCACAATTCTAAGCAGGTCTGGCCAACATGATCCATGGTGAGGCAAGTTAGTAGTTGTAGCTTAGCAATAGCTGGAGGACCTTCTACTTTCCATCTCTATACAAAAAGGGGAATAGGGATTGGGAAAGAAATTCATTGCTGAGGCCACATGTGTGTGTTGAGGCAGAGGCCGATGACCAGAACTATCCTTTGTATGCTGAACAAGCCCTGACAGGGACAATTACCGGGGGGGGGGGGGGCAACTCATTCATTTCTAATATTTCTATGGTTCTGTCCTCCATAACTGCTTCAAGCAGAGTATGACAGAAGTAGAAGTTAAAAATATTAAGATAGTGACAATTAATATGTATTGCAGCAGCAACAACCAGCAGAGGCTGATCATAAATGAAAACCTAACAACTGCCAAATGTTAGTTTTTTCAGAAATTCAGTTGGGAGGAGGTGGTACTTATATGTTGGGATAGGCTTTTCCACAGAAGGGACATCCCCACTGAAAAGACCTTGCGGCAAGGTCTCCATAAGTGGAATTGCTTTGGAAATAGGGCCCTTCAAAGAGGGGCTCCCAGTTACTCTAGGATAAGCAGATTCACTTTGGAGCAAGGAGACCTGGAGGTAGCCAGTCCTGGAGCCATGTTGCCCTTAAAAGGTGATAACCAGCAAATTCATCTGCCACAGACACTTTAATTTGGATTCCTGCACTAAGCAGAAGGTTGGAGTAGATAGTCTAAAGGACCCTTCCATGGTTCTCCAGCCAACCAAATCCTTATTATCCATTTGGAGGGCATAATGAATAGCTTGGAGGAAGTAGAATTGCATGTCCCTATCATTCACTCAGGGGCCATTTCTAAAGTGACACCCTGTCAGTTCTAATCCTGCAGACCACAATTCAGTTGTATTTATTACATATTTAATGATGACCTGTTTTATTTCAGAGAGGGCCAAGTTTTAATTCTGCATTTTGTTTGAAGGGAGGCAAATTGTTGAAGATAATGGATAGCATCTAGCAAAGAGGAATAACTGGCATTTGGTTCTGGTTTGCTTTTTATGGATATCAGTTGTATTTTAGGAGTTCTGCCTTTAAAATGTGTTTACAGGTAGTCCTCACTTAATGTCCATTAAGCGGCATTCGTCCGTTCAGCAGCCATTTGAAGTTACTTACACTGAAAAAATGGAGTCTGTATATTGCAGTCCCCCATGGTCATGTGATAAAAATTTGAGCTAACCTGCATTTATGACTGCTTCCTCTGCCACTCTCGCCACCTCCCAGCTGACCTTCATCGCCTTTGTCTGCCTCCCCTCTGCTGGGCTTCCCATCCTGGCCATGTGCGGGGAGGCGCTGCAGCTCTGGGGCTGCTTGCACCCTTGCACACACCCCACACCTGGCAGCAGCCACCCCCAGCCCTGTCATGCCTCACCAGCCACTCATGCACCCTCTCCCACCTGGCAGCAGCCACTTACCTACCTGCCTGCCTGCGAGCCACTTGGGACTTGCAACTACCTGCTGGCTTCCCCAATGACTTTGCTTGTTGGAAGCCACCTTTTCAGGAACTGCACTGCCAAAATTCCAGTTGTGTTGGTGGCTCAGAAACTGCCAACACCCAAAATAAAAATGGTTTTCACAGCCTGCGTGTAGCCCCTAAGTTGGGGTACCCACTCTTGTATTCTTTATTAACACATAGAAAGGGGTAGCTATGTTTGCTTCTCGTGTTTGCAGACATACTTCAAGTCTTTGGTGGCTAACAGCCTGACTTCTATGTGCCAAGTTTATTTTACCAGGATTTTCTGAGGCTTCAAGTAGGTCTAAACCAGGATTTTCTTGAAATTTCATCCCTCAGATGATTACTTCTGCTGAGACAACAAAGACTGGAGAGCAAACAGATTGCGACAGGTGCCAATGAATAGATGTCTCTTCACCTTAAGGCAAAGACTTGTGACTTTAAGCAAAGAGAGAACCTGCCCGCAAGATTAAAGCTCAGGAAAATGTAACCTGACAACTTCCTCAAAGATGAACCATGTTCAGCTTTTGGTAAGTTATTCCAAAACATCTTGAAGGTAAATTACTTTTGTTGCAGCATATGTTTTTTGCAGGGAACAGCCTATCTGCACAGAAAATAAATTTGGTGCAAATGAAAAAGAGAATCTGTATCATACTACACAACTCCAAAGCATCACTTTTCTCATTAGTCAGGAAATAAAACTAAGCCAGGTCTTGTATACCAAAAAAAGAGCAATTGCTGAACAGTAAAACTGTAGTTCATCAGTAGTACAGCGATCCTGAGTTGAACGCTCTGCTTACAGTCTTTCTGTAGGATTAGTTCAGATTACTCAACTCCTTCGTAGAACCCAGGGATTCCAGAAAGCACCTCTAAGTCTTTGGGGTGAAGTGTGCTGTAAATCAAAATAATATGTGCTACATAGAAAAGTGTATCTATACCTTTAAGACAATTGTGAAGTGAGCCAGCATGGTATAATGGTTACAATGCTGGGCTAGGATCAGGGAGATCCACCCACATTCAACAGGGGCAGCAGAGTCCACAGGCATTAGAAAGGGTCAATTCCCTCTTGATCTGCCAAGGAGGAAGAACTAGAACATCCCAATGGATTGACTGAACAGGATTTATAGATTCTCTTTGGAGGACCCAAGCCATATAGGGCTTTTTTTTTTTTTTGGTAGTAACGACTAGTATCTTGAATCTGACCCAGAAACAAACTGCTAGCCAATGCAACTCCTGTAATATTGGTGTAGTACTGGCATGCAGCTCTCACCCAACATATGGGCCACCACATTTTGCACTAGTTGAAGTTTCTGAGTATTCTTCAAGGACAGCCACCCCAAGTTGAGAGCTTTGGAGTATTTCAATTTTGAAGGAATAAGAATGAGATATTCTTACTAAAGCTTCCCACTATGAAAAAAGAAACAAAACCCACATCCAGCCCACTAGCTGAAGCATAGCTTCTGCCTGAAGAAGCCATGAGCAGGAGGATCCCTAAATTATGGACTTGTTCCTTCAAGAAGAGTACAATGCCATCCAGAGTTAAAGTAAGAACTACCAGAGAATCTGCTGATTTCTGGAGAAACAGCTACTCTGTCTTGTGGTAATTCATTTACAGTCTATTTTGTCCCATCCAAATCCTTTACTCATCAGGTCAGAACATCTGCATACATCTGCCAAATAGCTCAAAATGGAGGTGTATAACTGAATATCATCTGCATATTGATCCTACCTCACTTCAAACCAATGAATGACCTCTCCCAGTAGATTTATATAGATGTTAAACAGCATGGGAAAGAGCACTGTGCCTTATAGCACCCCATATTGGAGTGGCAATAAGCTCAACCATTCCTTCCCCACTAATATCACCTGGAGCAGCCCACTCAGAAAAAAAGCAGAAATATTATAAAACAGTGACTCCAACTCCTTACCCTTGCAGGCCCTCCAGAAAGATACCCTTGTTGATGGTATCCAGCACCACTGTTTGGACTGGGTGAAAGTTGTCTATCAATACCGAATAGAGAAATGCCCTCTTCAAGTGGAGGCACACCATTGTCTTTTTCACTATCCCTCCCTCAAAAAGGCATTAATCATCTCCTGAATCCACCCACTCTCTGGCTGCCTGAAGGAGCCAAATGGGGTAAAGATTCAACCCAGGGATGGCCAAGATCATGCTGCAGAAGACTCTGTCCACTTCATCAGATTCTACAAGCTTGAGAATCCTAATTACTTCTTTTGATTCTGCCCATGTGAAGTCAAGATCTGAACAAATGTGAATGATTTCATTAGTGAAATATTTAACAAACCTGTTGCAGCAGCCTGAAGGAAGGTCTTCCAGCTCACCTTTCCCACACAGATACAGGTCACCTGCTGCAGAATGTCATTCTACTGGTGCAATAAAGGTGAAGTAGTGATGTCTTGCCACCCTTATCTTTACAGTGTAGAAAAAAGCTTGTGCCTAGAGTATATGAAAGAAGATTATCATGTAAGCTGCCCAGATGTCCTGCAGAAAAGATTTTATTTTTAAGAAATAAAATCAACTGTAACAGAAACCAGTATTATGAAGGCAACTGGAAATGAGCAGACAAGCCAGGTGACCAGTCCATGAACCCTGACCAGAGTCAGTAATATTACCTGTTTCTGTGTATATCATAACACTGAAAAAGGTTAATGTGAAGAATGATGCCCACTGAAGACAACCATAGGAAGTAGACAGACTC